TGAAGATGGCATCCGTAGTGGACCTTTCGGGCATGAAGCCGAACTGCTTCTGCGAGATCGGAACGAGGTCCCTCAGCCTGGTGTTGACTAACCTCTCGTACAGCTTCATGGTATGTGCGGTCAGTCTAATGCCCCGGCAGTTGGAACAATCCGTCATATTTCCTTCCTGCTTGAAGATGGGAACGATTGCATTGCACCTCCAAGCATCCGGCATTCATACTTCGGTTGTTATGTTGTATAAGAAGAGAGTGAGCCAACCTACTCCATGCTCTTCAAGGGCATTTCAATCCTCGATCGGGATTGCATCTGAGCCAGTTGCCTTCCCAACATTCATCCTCCTAACTCCCTGCGGACCTCCTCCTGTGTGCAAAGTGTGATGGGACCAGCCGTCGGTTCTAGTTGCGGGCTGTCTTTGCAGGAGGTCTCATCGTTCAGAAGTTCTTTGGATTCCCTTCCCACCTTCTCTTGACTTCCACTGGCTTCCTCGGAATGATGCCGTCACAGCCTTTTACAGTCTTCACTATCCGGTCCTAGGTGGCCCGATGGCCGGCCTTAGCCAGCCGAAGACGAACTTGTCTGCTTCTGGGCTGTCCAATTTGTCGTACAGGGCGTCCATTTCCGTGTTCTTCGCCTTAGCTACGGCTGCCTTAGCGAGTCGTTTGCACCTCTTGTAGACAGCGAGATCTTCTGGAGTCCTTGTCTTTTGCCATTGCTTGTACGCTTCCTTCTTCCGCTTAACCACCTGCTGAACTTCTTCGTTCCAAAACCGCGCTGCCCTGCCTCCTATGGTTCCCCCTCATGTCTCTCCCAGTCTTCGTTAGCGGACATCTGCTGCGTTGGTTCAAGTGTCCTGGATGCGTCCCTAAGGATCTGGGGACCAGCCTCCAGTACCCTCTTTCTGAGCGCATCCTTCTACACTTGGCGTAAGTTCCACCACCGAATTCTCCGCTCGGTTCTTACCCCCGCTTCCCTGGAGAGATCTCGGGCTATGCCTGCTAGGAGGAGTCTGGGTTGAGGGCCCAGTTCTTTACCAGGCAGCACCTTGATGTCCTTAACAGTTTTGAGGGATGATCTTCTCACGAGCACATGGTCGATTTCCGTTTGTCTCCCTCCACTACTGTAGGTTACCTTCTGGTCTGCCTCTTTGCGAAGAACGTGCTGCAGACCGCTAGGTCGTGGGCTGTTGCAAGGCCCAAGACCCTTTCTCCCACGGTGTTCCTCATTCATATCCACCTGCCTCTGTGTACTCTTCCCATGCCCTGTCACTACCGACATGGCCGTTTAGATTGCCTGCCATGGTGATATAGTAATCCTCTCGAACCGATATGATGGTCTCCTCCAGGGTCATGTAGAAGTCATCCTTCTCAAGCTTGCGGTGCTCAGTACCCCTCCTTCGCGTCCATTCCCAACCCATGATTCGACCACTGAGCCTGTTCACAGAGAAGACGCAGTCCTTGAGGGGCTCCGCTACCGCTATGGCCACTCCGTTCCGCTTGGCGTCTCCGCCGTAGAAGAGTCTTGACCCCTTCTCCAATGTCGCGGGCCTTTTCTCCTTTCCAGCGCGTCTCCTGGAAGTATAGGACTTGGATTCCCTCGCTACATCAGATCAGCGATCTCTCGAAATTTTCCGGTGAGCGACCCCACGTTCAGGGTCCCAATTCGAACTAGCTTCTTTGGCCGAGGTCGTTCACCCCTCGGTAGCCCTCGCATACTGACCACAGAACTCGGGCGAGGGTTCTGCACGTCACTTGACGTCCTAGGTTACCACCGGTTCTTCTGCGCCTTTAACCCATTCGTGACAATGTACGCCACTGGTGCTGGACACCGAATCGTCCACTTCTGTCCACCATAGTGGCGGACGGGCTTTTGATGAAATTTTTAGAAACAGTTCGAGTTCTTCGAGGAACTTTTCCCAGTGGTACAAGTCTTCATACCTTTGTTAATTTATGCAAATAGTGGACCAACGAGATCTTCAGATATAAGGGTCCCAGGCACGATTCAACTAGCAGCACCTGAGCCCAAAACCTCTAGAAAAATTTCTGCTGAAAAATTGCCGGTAGGGGTTACTCAGTGCCCCGATCACGAATGTGACGTCCGTTTCTGGCGCCGGCGGTGTTTGACGCCATTTGGCACCATTAGGCGCCAATTTGGCGCCACCACTTTTTTCATCAAAACCGGGGCGCCAGAATGGTGCCGCGCCAACTCACCACTACCTTTTTTCACCAAACTTCAGGAAAAGTTACATACTAGGGCTTTTTGTTGGTCTGGTCACGAATATGACGTTCACTACAGGTCCCAGCGCCAACTGGCGCCAATTTGGTGCTATCACCTCTTCCACCCAAATTGATGGGAACTTGGATACTAGGGTTATTCGCTGTCCTTATTATTGATATGACATTCATTTTTAGCAGGAACGTTAGCGTAGGGCACAAGGGTTATCAATGCGATGCTGAGGCTGAGCTTGCCTTAGGAGGAGGGAATCACTCCTCCTCCAAGCTACAGCCTTTTCAGAGCGCTACATGGCGCTCATGCCATGTAGTGCTCTGCAAAGATAAGAACCAGCGCCGAATAACGACGGTGAAAAACTGTAAGCACTATCAACGTTCACTGCCTCAGACATCCGGAACCAAGCCAACTTTCGACCAACTTTCTTTCTATGTGGACAGACTTGGCTTAGCAGTCGTTTCCTGAGTTGGCTCGACCTTTTTAACACGATCACCGCTTCCGCGCACATTGCCGCCAAATGGCACCGGACGAATGTCATTTTTGTGACCTGAGGAATAACCCCTGCACTCGATGGTTCAGTAAAAAAGGAGATTTCGGGAGCAGAAAGTTGAACAGTGCTAAAATTTTTAGTAAGGGGTCACGAGGGACCGTGTCCACCACTGGTGGCGGACACTTGCTGAGAGCTCGCAAATGCTCCGGTCCGAACGAGCCGTTTTCGAAAAACGCGCCTGGTCGCGAATGGGTTAATCATGGTTGTTGTGACGGGTTCTCCATCAGCCGGCCTGTAAACCTGCCTAGACGCTGGTATCGTCGCCATTTTTGCAATTTTTGCAAGGCATGGTCTTGTGCCTCGGCAGGGACTGAGCTCGTGGCTTTTTCCAGAGTGTTGCGAACATGAGCCCACACTCGGCTATCCCTGATACTGTAGCGGTTCTACTGTGTAGGCAGCATTTTTGAAGAGGATTGACACAGACTTTCGTATGGTCAGATGTTGGAGGATGAGCAGTGCTGATATGTACCAACACTATAAATGAAAATGCGTAATTTCTAGACATTTTTCCATCTCTGCAGTTCCTGTGCAGTCGCAGCATCGGTCGTTTGGGATGTTTATCTAACACACTTTGACAGGTCGCTCCCAGTCTGCAGGGAAGAATCAGAGAGGAAATAAAAATCTTTCAATCAAAAACAGTTTTTTAGAATCGCTTCTTCGTTGCCTTACGGTTGTTAACACCTATTCCTTTGAAAGGTAATAGGCAGTTTCAAGGTAATAAGCAATGGTGCCGGTACCCCACTTTCTTGGGAGACAAGGTAGAAAGATAAGGGTCCTTGTCGTCATAACTCTGGAAAAGTTGTGCTAATTAGGCATCGACGCTGTAGTATGACAAAGCAATATTATTAAGAAGGACGACTTGAGAAGACCTGGAGACATTGATGGATAATGGAACAGCTCTCAGCATTGAAGAGAATCATTCCCAGGAAGGAGCAGAAGATGTGCTCGCAAAAGCGTAATCACTACTACCAACGGTTTTTCTGCTGTTTCAGGTCCAACCCTTGGTCCGCCCTGTGAATCACTAAGCTAAAAAGCTTGTGCAAGCTAAGTTTATTTCTGACCGAAAATATTGTGGAAGTATGGGTAAGGTAATGAGAGGAGCACAAGGGGCCGACCAAACACGAACGGGGGTACTGTTCCCGGACAACAAGCAGATAAGAATTTCGAGGCAGGCAGGTGACTAACAGTCAGTCTTTCGTAATCTGGTCGCTAGGTACAACTCAACGACGGACACGTGGAGTCGTTCCTCCGTATAAAGGGGACAAACACAGGTGTCACATCAGTACATTTGCTTGCTCTCACCCCTTAAGCAACTTTCGATAATGTTTTCATTTCTCAAGATTCTAGCCGCATGGTTAACTGCATGTTTTTGTCTTGTATCATTTAAAAAAAACAAAAATGGTGCCTTGGCATCAAGTTCGAGCTCTTTTCCCAAGCCCTTCACTCTCAGATTTCAGTTTCATTACAAAACTTCGGGTTGTTATGTGAAAACATGAAAAAGGTGCAAAGTTCCAGAAGATTCAGATGGGCCTCCTTTTGTCACGGCTGCACTATTTCTGGTTTGGAACGACACCATGTCGTATATTGATGGTAAGCTCTATATCAGCTCTATATTATCTGTACGGTTCACTTGTTCAAAGGAAATAGCAAAGGCAATAATTGCGCGCTACATTATGTTCCTTACGACTTGACACACTATTTTGACCCTCAACGCCACCAAGGTAGGTTAGCAGGAAGTTCGTTATGCGGATCTAGCGACCATCGGTAAGAGTTAGATGCTCTGTGGTAACAGCAAAATGGGCGACGACTTATTTCCCGCCAGCTGCTGCCATTGCTAAAGCGTTACATGCGAGGAGAAGAAACTGAAATTTACTATGACCTTGAAGTGGCGGTGGATGGCTTCTTCGATTCATTGCGTCCTGACGTCTTCACAAAATCCCCTCTGATACACCAGTGAGGAAGGCGGAGGTCACTGGTTCTTAGGGGAAAATATATTGTTCAGGTTCGCCGTTCTCGGAGAAATCGCAAAAGCTTCAAAAAAAGGTTTCGTTTCATAATGAACTTCGCTAACCTAATAGTACGTGCTGGGCGGCATCTGGCCGTATTTTTGCGCGGACAAAGAAAGCAGCCCATCAAGGAGTGTTTCCGCTTGTTTGAAAGAATATGGTACTGAATATGGTATTCTTCAACCTTCAAAGGGCTAATGAAGCAGAGCTGAGTCTAGATGTTTGCTTGTATCGAGGATACTTGTTTTACGTGTTTTAAGGTGGGCTTGGATAATGCAGGAAAAACCACTGTGCTATATAAGCTCAAGCTAGGAGAAGTGGTGACCACTATTCCTACAATAGGTACGTATTTCTTTGGTGATTTTAAACATTTCTGCCAACCGTATACTTCTGTAGGCTGCAAGAATGAACTAGTGAAGAGGTGATATAATATCGAAACAAAAACGCAACGCATCACAAGCTTCCGAAGTTACTTTGTCTCATGTACAACTGCTGTTTAACGACGCAGTGCGCGCTGCGAAAGTTTTCGCAAGAATGCTGTGTTAGGCAGATCGCTGTGTCTTGTTAGGTCTTGACCCCAAGCGGGACTTGTACCCACAGTTCTCGCTTTCCGAGTGAGTGAGTTATCCGTCACGCCACCAGGGCCGCTCTCTCTCTCAAGGACAGTTGGCTCGATAATTTGGTACTCGGTCTGAAATGCTAGCAGGGTACATAGTGCGAAAATGGCGAAAAACGAAGTGAAACGGTCAAAAACCTGCGAAGAAAAGCCTTCGTTTATTGACACAATAAAGCAGTGCCGGACGAATTCCGCGTAGCAGAATCATTGCCACAAAGCCGTTGTAATGGTGATAATGGCTACTCTAATCCTACCCAATATATCCATGCAGCACCGCAAGCAGCTTCATAGACTGAATCCCTTACGCTTGTTATTTACTCGCAAATGAGCCATAACGACGCATCAATGTTGACTCAGCGTTAGTCCAATTTGTTTATGGCTGTAGATGAGGCGTCGCCGGGTTGGGCATCGGTCGGTATGAATAGATATAGAGTATGTTACAGCTTGATACGGCCTCATAACTTCCTTGGAAGAAGCGCGACACAGCGCCCGCTCAGAGGCACGGGATTCCGTCCTGTTGGGCGTATGAATCCTTCTCGTCTTGGGGTCTCATCGTGCCAACTGCTTCTAAGTAAAGAATAGCGCACTTGCCCGAAAAGCATGAGGTGCAGGTTTGAGTCCCGTTTGGGGTCTAGAATTTAGCCAACCAACATCCAAACCCACTCTGCCCTGTGATAACATTTCTTCATACATTTCGAACTTTAAAATCTTAACTCTCACATTGCGCTGGAGAAGTATTGTAAGAGAAGTATAGAGAAGTAATATAGCGACGTCATAATTGACCACTGTTGGAAATCAAAAGAGGTTGGACTATAAATATTGCTCCGACCACACACCATGGCATTCGCAGTGGTCTTTCTGGATTACACTAGATGCAGGCCGTGTGCAAGCCATCAGTGATTCATCACATCTTTTCACAGGGTTCAATGTGGAAACTGTTGAATACCGTAACGTCTCGTTCACGGTTTGGGACGTAGGTGGACAAACAACAATTCGGCCCTTATGGAGATATTATTTTCGCGATACTCAGGTTAGTCATTATACATTGAAACATACTCTCCATTTTTGTGACTCTTCTCTATGGATGATTTTTTCCCGATGGAAAATTGTTTGGTTTTGGCTGATGCTCAGTCTTAATCTTAAACTTACAGTTTTCTCCCCAGAATTTTTATCGGATCCCTTTGTCCAATGAATAGAGGTTTTGGGAATCATCGCTGCAAAAGGTTCAATAGTAACGAAGACAGACGCATTCTGCAGATAGGTAAAAAACATTCGACGATGGTGGGCCCAGGTGGCTCCTAAGTCCACTGAGTGGATGGAACTTTACGACGAAGTACTCTCAGGTCTTGGAGCCCATTTTCGGAATGGTTTGTTGCATGTTGAAGTGGTTTATATGGGGACTACAAAAGTGCAGGAATGGAAAGCTCTTCTATTTTTCTGGACGAAAGATGTGTGTGTTTTTGGGCACATTTCTATTCGCACAAAGGGTTCCAACTTATCACGGGCACAAAAAAAGGGAGAGCAGCAATTTTCGTCACCTGCGTGGTTCATAGCAGTCTACTGTATACACACCGGCCTTCCCAGAAGCGCGCGAGGAGAATGAACCACACTTTTGTGGCGCCTACATGAATTTCCACAACATACAACGAGCCGTTTTGAATATGAGTTGCACGACCTAAAAACGTCCTTTGTTAGAAAAAGATCAAGCTTTGGAGATGGATAGGAAACAGACTCTGTTTCGTGTGTGTCCGCTATAGAGATGTTTAATTCGCTGTCCTTGGCTGAAAGAGTACTGCTCGTACTGTTAGACTGGAGATGTGCTAT